TTAACTTCCCCTTATTTATGACTTGTGATATGCTCTGTAGAGTTTCAGCCTCTTACAATAACCACATACAAATAAATTAACAATCCGTCACTCCTGAGATCGAATTGGTCTATTTGAATTTATAATTCCAGCAAACTACAGCGACCTGTATTCTCTTTGGTGGTCGATTTATGGCTGTTCTGTGTTGATGCTTGACATACATAGTTATACAAATGTACTTGCTCGTTTATAAATGTGAAAATTATGTCTAACGAAAGTGTATGCACGTGTCAAACTGCTGTCAGGACGCAGACATGAACATCATTAACTATATGAACTGCGTACATAATACTTGTAATTTTGTTCCCTGCCAATAATGACGAGACCCTGCGAATTTCGATGGAGTAATAAATAACAAGTAGTTATTCCATTAGCCTGGCGCAACGATTATTTATCCTTAAAACATAGAAAGTGAATTCCTAGGTAAAGCATCTATAATGACATTTTTAGGTTCAGGGACCTAATCATGCAATTGCATTTTGACTATTTACGGATTTCCTCAGACCTTCCAAAAGAACAGCTATTTAGAACCCTGATAGACACAACTAGTAATTTAATATTATGTAGAAAATAAATCCTAATCGTACTAGGGAGTGCTGTATACTGGCACAAACTAGTCCATGAAAAAGCAAGGAACGAAGTGCTCAAGACAATACACACTCCCTCACCTTCTGCAGAAAACTTGTTGGGATCAGACTCCATTACATGAGAATCTCATAACGGCTTCATCACATCAGAAAGTCAGGCAAATAAAGTTTAACTTCCAACACAAAACTTAGCCTGAATCTTGCTCTCGGAAAAGTAAAGTTCAGTTTGAGTTGAAATTCAAAGGATCTACAAATGAAGATTTCATCTATACCGCCATATTGTAGGTTGAACTAAGGGATTCTTGTTCGAGATTACTTTCCCCGTTTCTATGGATACAATATTGTGGAGCCGTGTTGAAGCCGTCCGGAATTTAAAAATTAGCATTTTAGCCCTCAAGGTACATTTTGTGAACCATTACCTTAAACAGATAAGTATGACAGTAGATAGTTCAGTCGGTAGAAGGGAAGAGATGACTTGGGAGAGGAAGGATATCGAGAAATGCTGAAGAAAATCGCCAGCACTTTCGGTCAAGAAAACCGGGCTAAAAAGTACGAAATCAGATGTGTTATGATGCGCAAACAAGAACAGTGGCAAGTATTCGGAAAAAATACCCCACGCACAAAGACGCATCCGCTACATTCGGTATTGACAAACGGCCAGAAACTGAGAGTGTCCTCACGAACGTACAGACTACTGCAGACCTTATCATCATAATCATTAACTGTAGCTCTACAGCCCGTGACGGGCCTCAGCCTCTTCCCATCTGGGAGGTTACTCGGTCTATTTAGATCATGTGATAGGACTCCTTGGGCGAGTGATCAGCCCGTCGCAAGGCCTCTACCTGTACACGACAGCGCAACACAAAAAGACGTGGACAAATCTCCATGCCTTCGGCGGGATTCGAACAAGGCCCACGTTTCAGATCGCGCAGCCATAGTATGGTATGAACGTGTTGTTCCGAAAACCAGCGAAACTGATTTCTTTAATTACATCGCCTAATTGTGTAAACATGGCGATAGTGCAACACGTGAGGATTACGTAAGTCACACGTGAAGATCAATTCTGGACAGAGGGTAAAAATGTATGTACGCACGCACGCACGCGCACGCACGCACATATTCTCAACGCCAATGAGAGGAATCGAACACAGGTCGTTCAGTTCGTAGCCAGTAACTTTATCAGAAAGTTTCCACGAAACCATCATGAATTAAAGTTTCCCGGAACATGAGACCATCTGTCGCTGTACCTTAAAGCATGAATTATTTATCATTCGGATGTTCCAAGTAGTTTTAATGTGGGTGTCTTTGAATAAAAATGGAGCAAGGTTTTTAAAAATTACATAACGTATGCTGTAATTCTGCAGAAATTTCGCTGCATTAAATATTAATGACCATGAACTCTGAAGAAACTTTGAACATCATGGATGTCACTCCAGGCTAAGAAGAGTTGTTAATATTAAAGAGAATTACGCGGAAATATGGTGTGGAAGGCGTTCGTCTCTTTCAGTATTGGATGCAATAACGTGATCATGAGAAGACCGTAAAGAATCCACTGAATCCATAAAAGCCGTACATTTCCTTATCGGGAATCGACATTTCCAAAGTCCTAAAAATAAACATGAAATGATATCATATTTATGGTGAACAGTGAACTAATAAAACAAATTCATGACGTATTTCGTATTATCCAGCATTCAACTGGAGACAGACGAAGATAAGAGAAATTCCAGAGTAACTTTGCTGGGTTGTTATAAACAAACTTTTACAAAAATATACATGCATTTATAATGGGCTAGTCAATGAGATATTTTTAACGATATTCCCGGAAATATCCAGTTAATAGAGATAGAACGAACTTCAACTGCTATCGGGTTAATTCATCATGTGTTAATGTGGTGTCATCGTTATGGTCACTTCGTAAAATGAGACAGATCGAGGTGAGAGGTTCTGTGCTGTTTGCATTTGGCTGCTGGTCATGTCCCAGGGCCCAACTTAGCATCCCGTATCGTTTGCACTGACTGGATACTGCTCATGCTCTGCACGTGACCAGACAGAGACTTCAAACAATAATCGAACGGGTTTCAGAAATATTTCCTGGGACTGCGAATAAATTGGATGTTTTGAGTCTGTTAAAAATAATAATCACAGAGATACAAACATAGCTACAGAGCCTGTACAAAGTTTTTTCACAATTGTTCCAATTAAATACAAAGATTTTATTTCGTCATAAAAATAATGATCATGGATTGGCAAAGCTATCATTAACATGGTACTGATCTGTCCGGATGCTGTATTTCCTGGAAGCAGGTTATAAACACAAAGTCACTTCCATGTTCATAATTTAAAACATGGCGCTTCAACTAGGAGCGGGGTGAACTTAACACGAGTATTTGTGAAGTATCTATTTACTTGCCTGAGTTTCAGTGTTACTATGACACATAACAAAGGGAAGGCGGATAAAAATTATAAATTATTTAGAATTTGGGACATGGAACACCGATTTAATTTTGCGAATGTCTTACATTCTTATTTTTACAGGCAATATTAAAAGAAGTACAAAGTTTAAATAGAGCAGAAAGGCAGAAAGATCATACATAAATACTCAACTGATAGATGTTATTAGTGTGCCCAAATTAAGGTGCTCGGGATGGTAAAACATGCAGAATGCACAGAACAGATGAGAAATTTGTACATTTTACTCAAAAAATCGGAAGAAAATAAATCGTTTGGCATGCATTGGCATAGTTTAAAGGATAATATTAAATGGGTCTTTAAGAAAGAGTTCGAGGTAGTGGAATAGACTCAGCTGGCTCAGACCAGGGTTCAGTGACGGTCTTTTGTAAACACCGCAATGTCGGTTACCAAGTAACAATATTTATTGAATTAGTCTGCTAGTCAGAAGTTGGAGGCAGGACTTTCGCCCTATTTTAACACACTTCAATAATTGTCATTGCATTAGTTTAAAAAGCAGCCAATACACTAACGGTGAGAATAACAATTGATTTTAGATTGGTCTTCCTTATTCTACTTGCACATAGCTTTCACGGAGAGACCTGAAACGGAAATACACAATGGCACATTTCGCCATAATGCGTTCTCTTCTGCTTATCTAATGGCAGCTGGACGCAATAAACAGACCACCGACAACTCAGTGCAGGAGTGGAGGGCGACTGCTGGTCTCACAGTTTCCACAAGCAATCACACAACTGATATTTCTAAATGAACGAAGATCAGAGAAAGACAGTTTCATATGACGTAGGCACATCACGTATTCACAATGGGATGAGACAGACAGACAGACAGACAGACAAGTTGTCATGAAAAATAGACAGTGATGTGAAGTTGGCAAAAAAAGTGTTACTTAGCACCTGTTCAATTTACGTATTCGAATATTTGTGTACAGAGGTGGACTAAAACATATTAACGCGAATATAACATATAAATCACTCTTACGTATTTATAAAATTATTGAAATTGTCATTTAAAATCCCCGTAAACTTTGAAACGGAAGTTCGTCTAAATGAAGCGTTATAGACTGTTGGAGTAGGTGGTACATATAGTTACCACTGTGTTTTAAATGGTTAAAGACTTCGCACTTTTACAAATCCTCCATGATAAAATTTTTTTAAATATGAACGTAGGCCTAAAAGAAGGTGTGGATTCTGTTTTTGTTGTGGCCCAATCAGCAAAATCCTTTATGCAACATTCGACATATCTGAATATTACGTCAAATTTAAAAAATTATCGTGAATACAGACCAGGAAGCCCTTTCACATGTTCATTTTAATTTATTATTCCGCTAATCTCACAATATTTCATACCCGAATAAGCAGATGTCAGATACATTGGAATTAAATATATTACAACGTAAATTTGAAAGTCAAACCTATGGAACTCAGTTTTAAAATTAAAATATTAAAAAATGACTTGAATAAAAGTATACAATGGACCAAATATTTTCAAACTTTTCTTACTTAAGAATGCAACTACTATATCCAACTGTCTGCTGAAACTTTTTCCACCTTTTAGCCTAGTTATAATTACCAACATTACAGAAGACAGACCAAACTTACAGTTTCAAACAAACATTTCACAATAAAATATTACTTGGAAAAAAATTCCCACGTATACATTGTGAATATAAATGTTAGAATACGGATACAGAGATCTGCAACCCGCAATGTTAGTCTGCTGCTGTGAAACTGTCATATTATTGTCATCCGATGAAATGGGCAATGCGTGTTCCTAATCATCACAAAACTATTACCAAATCTAGTAAGGGCTACAAAAAATGGGGTAACGGTAACACAAAAATGCCTTAAAATGTGTAAAACAGCACCAACTAATACTGCAATATTACCAAATGAAACTCACCGATTTTGCAGAATTGATGAGTTGTACAGACACTGTTGAGGTTCACCAGATAGAACTCTGGACGACTGAGGAAAAACAAAAAGAAAATACAATAAACAAAAGCTCTTATGTCAGTAATGAAATGGCTATTACATAACAATAGCACACAGACAGTGTCATCGATTTGAGAAAAATGGAGCCATAATAGGACCTCGTAGCCATTTTGATAATACAGTATCGTTACTTCGAAAAGTGTTGACTTTGGATCGATCTGGAACTTCTAATAGTTACTTAACAACTCTGTATATCTTCTTACTACGTCAAATGGAATTGTAATTAAAATAATGCCAGTGTAATACTAATCGCTACGACATGAAGCAACAGTGACACAGGTAGATTCTAAAATCCAGCATAAAATAAATCTTTTAAAGCTATGCAGTGTTTTAAAATCATAACATGGGGACAATTCCAAACCTGGCATAAGCTTACTTTCAGATTTCCTGCTAACTCCCGTAGTAAAAAAATGTCACGTGTTCCGTATAACGAGAAATTAGGATTATTACGCTTTTTCTCAACTATTTATAACGTGTTGAAACATGTCAATATGGCGGCTGTGCAAAACCCTTGAAGTATCTCTCTTTATGTATACACTGCAGCTGGACAGTGGAATCACAATAGGAAATTATTCATAATAAATAAGCGAAGCCGAGTTCTTTTAAACCTGATTTCCTTTGCTATGACTGAAGAAAATTTAATGGGGTGTTTATCAGTATCTCGTCTAGGCCTACTCGAAGTATACATGGAACAATAAGGTTTACAGTGTGCATATTATTAGCACAGCTCTATTAGAGTCGTCGCTAACTGCTTGTTGTTACAGGAAGAAACTTGCGTCAGCGACATCCAAACTTATTAAAACTTCTATGTGGAGCCACGCAGAATGCATACAATGTCAAGGATTATGCCAGCGTCGCTTCTATAATAATGACAAAGTTACGTTAAAGTAGGTGTCAATCAGGAAGTAAGGTAAATCTAAGTTGAAGTAACAGCTCAAGAATTTAACAATTACTGGGAACAAGTCAAAAGTAAATGCTGAAGCATCCATTAGTCTAATATGTACATTGTTACATGCTTTGCATTACTAACTCTTCACTCTGTGGCTAACAACACACAACAATAACTGAGGCTAAGTTATCGTAATCAATACCGTACAGTCAGCCAAGATAGAATATTCAAACTAGAAATGCAGCAAAGCCAAGTATTGAAAAAAAATCGAAAGAGGCCAGAAGCTACTCTCTCATGGGAGGAATCCGCAGTGAAACTTCTGGAACTTGTACTGCACAAAGGTTTTAGAAAACTGAACGGTTTCATATAAAAAGGACATATCTCCATTTTACAGACCTGTAAGAAACATATAAATTCTATATAATATACTTTGTATTGCAGCGTTTTATTAGGTATGAATATTGCCTATTATTATTGTATGTGCATTCTCTGTCTGCAAGATTTGAAGCAATATAATCGTATTCAAATATTATAGGCCTTGGAAAAATTATATATTTTCTCGGCATTAATATGAGAACCGAGGAAAACGATACATATCAGTTAAGATAGTCGCTAGTTCTTGACTGGTTGAGCGACTATTAGCTTCTAAGGGATTATGTTCGATGAATTTACAATAACTTGTAATCCAAACTAGATTCTAAATGTGTATCTACCAAAAAGAAAGTTTAATAACATCAGGAGTATATCAACCTGATCCGTAACTTTATATTAAAAAAAATCAAAATTATCAAACCTATTATTTTCAGATATTCAGTCAAGTGTCACGGACGTACGGAATGAATTAAACTGGCCCAGTCCCAGGTTTTACTGAACACGCTAATCAACCTTCTGGTTACAAACACGAGGAATTTCTTGACTATCTGAGCGAATGTTAGCTCTGAACTATGCAGTTAAGTAGTAATATTGTTAAATGCATTGGTAATATATGTATTTCACTGCCCTTTGAAAGAATAATAGTGATAATTTCTACCAAACTTAGTTTTCTCATAAATAATTCTATTTTCACGATATCAAATTGTTATTTTCCCACCATTTAGTCTCTAATAAATGTGTTCACATAATTCAATAAATTTTCTCTTTTATCATTATAATCTCTATTCCTTCAATGTAATATTCTGATTTTCAGAACAAATACCTTCGTTTCCTGATGAGTATACAGGTTGGTTCTCCATTCAGCCTCACAACCGTAACTATGGCAACACTCAATTGACCTTTTACACTGGAGAGCCGTGTGTGATATTTTGCGGTTATTTCCATCCCGTCGACATTCAATGCCACGACTTGTATTAAGTAGCCTTTATACCTGACTTAAAAATCTTAAACTGCCCTTGACTACAAAATTTTAGATTTCGTAGCCGTATTTTGTCTCTGCCTTATGTTGTTGTTAAACAACTAATGAAACTCTACACACAATAAAATAACCCACGTTATTTTTTGTGGGCAGAACTAATAATATGTGACATCGAAACAAATGTAATTGTATACAAAATTAGATGTCCTGTGAAATATAACATGCAATGATAGAGACAGAAATTACATTTGCATATAATTATCTGTTATTAACAATAATATGTCGGGAATTCCCTACAGCAAAACAGGGTTTGTAAATAAATTATTTACGGAAATTGCAATTTGTATCTTCCATTCTTCTTACTGTGACAATAAATACTATTTAAACTAATAATAATGTGGCGCTGGGACGAAGTTAAGCATGAAATCTGACAAAGAGATCGGCTTCGCACAAGTTACAAAACCGACAACGCATTTGTGTCTGTAGAGAATAAACGTCATGACTAACGAAGAATGTAAAATCGCATAGAATATAAAAAAAATCGAAAAGAAAACATTTGGAGAACAAGCAAGACCACTTGGCAGAGCAAGATGAGATGATGATATTAAAATATACCTTAGAGAAATAGAATCTGAAAATTCGAACTTCTGTCGACACGATTGTGAAATTCCGTGCTCCTCAAAACAAAATTACTTCCTCCTGACTAAATAAATACCAGACTTATTAATAAGGAAACCATAAAATGCAATTTATTTCATTAATAAAATTATTCGCAATGCAAATTTCTTGTTATCAATTAAGTTCACAGACCAGTAAAATTTTACCAATGAAACCCCGCTATTAGGGTTAAAAAATTCTTTACTATCCTGAACCGTTATTAATGCTCCTGTTTTCACTACTTCGCTTCATTATCTTGCCTTCTGTATATTCCCTTATTTTTCTCTGCTTAAATCTGCCCAGTTATCAGACTTCACCCTTTTTTTACATTGCATTTCGCTGTTTAGTACCGCAAACAAAAGACTATAATGTCAGCAGCAAGTAATAGTTTTTAATTAAAAAAACTTTTGTAATATTGCGTGTGTCAATACTGGATATTGACACACAATGAAATTCCTTCTCAGTGCGCCGTATTCACAGCCTTTACCACTCACTACATTCCATTGTGCAAAAAATGTTGACCAACCTCTAGTGAATCTATGTCAGCTACTGAGACTGCACGCTGTTGACTAAGTTAATCATTGTATAAAATGTTCTTTGGCAAACCTCTCAGCCGGGATGGTCATGTAATTAGCTATTGGCTGAACGAGAGAGGTTATATTCCCATCAGGGACAAAAACTTTTCTCCTCACGACCTGTCCAGATCGACCCTGGGGTCCATTGAGTATCCTACTGATCCTATTGAAAGAGAGAGAGGGTTGTCTCGGGGATAAAGCGGTCGCAAAGTGAAGCTGACCACAGACTTCCACCACATAAGCTGCAGAAATTATCAATTCATGTGGTTTTACCAACACTGCTCTACTCCCCTTCAGGGTTTCCGATTAAGATTATGTGTACATTTCTTGTCTTGCAATGTCCATGCCATGTCCATCTCATCCATAAACTAAACCTTTATAAATTTACCGCATAAAAATACAGTTCCTCGTTATTCTTTGCTTCAGAAATTTCTGTGCATGACATATTTCAGTTGCTGTGTGCTTAGATACGAAGTACAAGTTCCACACTTTTGGAAATACTGCTATAGTAGCCGTGGCCAAAACGCATGCTTCAAGGCCATGGAAGGAAAACAGAAAATTATAGCGAACCTAGTTACGTGGCCAAGTCATTATGCATACAACGCGTTAAATTATTATTCCAGGGGTTGTCTCCATTAATACATAATTACATTATTTGAAATTTGCTACACGTAGCTAGCTACAAACATTGTCATTATCAACACGAGTCTTTAAAGAAAAAGAGTAGGTCTATTTCATATATTCGTATTTAATTCTATTATTAGTCGTCACTATTCTAGATTACACAAGAGAAGCTGCTATCCAGCTAAAGAGTAATTACAGAATTTGCACGGGTATCACATTCTGATTTTAATTATCTACACAAATAAACAATTAGACGTTTTTATGTTATTTGGCGATGCGTACCAGATATTTCAGGGCACTTTCTCGCTTACGCTCAGAAGTTTCTCACAGTTAGCATTCAGGCATTACTGTTATAATTAAATATTACAAAGGTAATGCAACTTCAGATAGAATGTACATATAAAATTGCATGAAAACGGCAAGTTCATTCAGACGTTTTAGATGGACACACATAAATTAACTTACAAACTCATATCTGCATTGCGACCACAAGCCTGCATTGTGTTATAAAAGTACTGAAGTTGTACAGAAACGAGACACGAAACTCTATAATGTACAAGTAATAATAAAATTGGATAAAAAAAGTCTTTTAAAGTCTCCACAAAGAGTGAAGTGTTATGGAACTTCACCTCAGTTCCAGCAGAACAGAACGTGACTGCATACATAGCACTGGGGCCTGGAAGAAGCTAGAACAGATTTTTAATAAAATCCTGGAGAGCTTTTGTAAACGTAGACCGAGATCCGGAAGTGCCAGCAGAATGGACCATGCAGAATCAAGTAGAAAAGAGAAGTGTGCTGAAGCACCTTGGAGACTTTGTAGAGAGGCATTTTATTACAGTAGAATGCAAAAGTCAATAAACACGGAAAGAATGCTTGT